TCAGTATCTCGATATTTGGGATCTAATTCAAGGAAACAAGACAATACTCGCCAAGCCAGTCATTGACACATATTACTGGAATACTTTCGATCAGATACTAAATTAACTACTGTGGAAACACTTGATTAAGAAGGGAACACTGTAGCCCAAATCTATATCCGACAATCGCAAAAGACGACTCAGGCTTCAACAAGAGCATGATAAACGCACATTCCCGTAGATACTTGCTAGATGAAACAACTTCTTCTTATTCCCCACCTGAGCAATAGGTTATAATTCCTATACTGTTAAAGTGTGGTATAGTAAAGTAATCTGGGACCATAAACTATCACTCAGACAAGGAAGAAGAAGTTGAATTTTCTAACTATCTGGGAGACTGTGTCTATATAAATATTGCAGAGCTCTTTATTCCAACCTCTTTCCACCTTTTTTATTTAGTTTTTGAATAGCGGCTTCATTATTTATATTGACTGTCTCACAAATCTAAGAATAGTCTCCCCTTGAGCATATAGATAAAGATACTCTGCCCTTGAATAGGCAGATGTGATCGTATCGAACACCATTTCAGCTTCAATCCAAGAAGCTCTAACATTTACAAGTAGTTCGTAAAACTCAATTTATGCAATGAATGTGTATCTATTTCTCGCTTCAACATGAATAAGACAACTAAATGAATGCTCTAGTTTACCAATACCAAGTACCAACCAACATACTGATGCTCATGCAATCTCCTATAAAACACGCATAATGAATGGCTCGATAAAAATGAACTTTCCCTTCCCCAGTTCAAGTATTCATCTGTGATTCAACTTCTGACAAAAGACAGCCAGCTCAAGAAAAGGAGCTTATAAGGTGATAACTCCATCATAGTGGCACTTCTTCGATGTCACCGTGCCGGTCTCCGTGTTGCATAGCCACTTGGTACCCGGGGCATGGCCACTTCCATTGTCGTTCAGGGTGAACGAAACTGTCTCAGTGCCATTGACCCGCTGCAGCTGCAAGATGAAGACGGAGATATCATTCACCCCGCCCGGGAATTGGACGTAGTAGTTGGCGTCGCTCGTACGAGCGCCTGCAATAGGGTTTCCGGGGCGATCCCTGGACATAGTTAATCACTTGATTGTTAGTCAGGAAAGGTTGCAATGAACATACCAGATGACATTGGCGCCGGTCACATCGTTGTAGTTAGGGTCGTTGAGATGGAAGGTAACATATCCATTTTGATCAGTCTGAGAAGCGAAAAGCCCGCTGATAGTGATGGCTTTCTCGGCCCTCGTGGCAGGCATAGCCAGCGCAGTACCAGCAGCCAGGAAGGAGCAGATAGCAGTGGTCTTCATTTTGTTGGATGGCTTAATCTGTCGAATGGAAAGAATAGAGTATGTGAATTGAAGAGTGATTAATCGATTGAAGCTTGTGGTTGTGAATCGAGTTGTAGTGCTGATGATCTTGGTAGGTTACACGAGAGGATTGACTGCCTTTTATATCTCAGTGACTTCATATTGCGATTCTCAAGATAATGACTGAATACAGGTTGTTGGATGGAAACAAGCAACTGTTGTGCTCAGGCCACCTGCTGCCTCGGTGTAGAGTATGCTAACTCCGAGCTCGAGAGGCTGTGCTGGATGTCATAGGAGCAGCATCACGATATTTTCTCAGGCCCCCAAGAATCGCGATTTATAATATAGGACTACGTCCACCAGTGTGTCCAGCGAAACTAGTGCTGACAGTTCAGCTGCTAGTCCCACTGCATCTGAACTGTGTGTCTGCCACAGTAGCAATGTTGTGTTGCAACCCTAGTGCTGACGGAATTAGTCCGAGGCGAAGCTTTGTGGATTCGTCGCCTAGGCGTCCCATCATTCGTTCTAGACTGAAGTCAAGACACAAACAAGCATTCCAAATATAGCAGAGCCGCAAGCTACGATCCGTTGGCTGCCAGCGATCAAATTTTGTAGGGCGATGGTACGCGTGGATTAAGGACAGAATGTTATTTTTAGCGTCAAGGTGGAAGGCAGCTAGATACCTGATTTAAATCTGTGGGACTCAACATTTGGAGCCCTGTAAATACTGCGGGTGATCTAAATATAGATAACAAGAGCAGATGGTATTACAACTAGAACTACCAGCTTTTGCCTCTGGTAGTGCCCTCACAGAGTTACTCTCCTGGACAAACCAGAGAAGGGCTAAGGTGAATGGTTCCAAGTCAGCGAGGAACCTTAGATGACGATCAAATAGTCAACTGTATTGCATCAGACATTGATCCGCCTTAACTGCAGATCGGACGTGTCATCACCTAACTTGTTGATGAGACAAGGCACCAGGCCTCTTATCGTATACAGTTGGAATGCTTTGGAGAATAGAATCAGACCAGAAGTAGAGTACTTTGGAATTAAGTACCCTCTCTTAAACTAAATCAATACTCGGAAGAGTCAAGACTATGGGTAACAGTTCTACACATAGTGTATACTGAGTACTAGTAGTTTGCACGGGCTATCCATGTAATAGCTATACCACAGGCTTTCTATGCGCTCAGCCCACGCACTTTTCGCCCTTTCCCACGCTCCCGGATCGACCAGCGAGTACAAAGCGGCGCTCAAGTCGAACCAACACGGAAACAATAACGACCGCAGCTCTTCTTTGATAACTCCTTTGGGATAGTTCCCTTGTCCATGGCTTTGTCACGTGTGCTAGCAGAGGCCCTATTAGATCAGTCATATTAATTTCAAACAGTATGATTAGGGTCTATCCTGGGGCTGCTGCGAATGCGACCGATGTCGCAGGGGACAAGCCACAGTTCGAAAAGCATCTGCAATTTCCCAGATGAAAAGAAGACCTCAGAACCGAAGACGAGAAAACTGAAGAGCTTAAAACAAGCAATCGGCGGTCTGACAGTCGCGAGTGGATATCTCTCCGCAGGGTCCGTTCAGCTCGTATCGCACTCGTGCTTTAGCGCGGGAGCTATTGATGCAGGCTGACGAACCGAACCAAGCAAACACAAGGGAGGCATTTTTGCTGACCGGTCCTCCTTTCTTACCCCGCACGAATCTCCCTTGCGTCACTGTTGATGGACTGAAACTCTCGAGCTGGATGTGTTCTTTCCTTTTGCAAGATGGTGGACCGGTACAGAGCATGATTGATGTTCGATATCACAATGCCCCGAAGCGCAATCAATAGAGTTCTGCTCGTGTGGATCACCGCCATTATTTACTTATTCGGTATCATCCTCGCCAAACCAGTTCAATACTGCAAATTTGGATACAAGGGTAAGGAAGAACATGGCGACGTGGACTTTTGCATGGCCGTCGCCATGCACGAGAATCGATCTTCGAATGCCTATGATATGTACCTGTCCATGACTGTCACACGGGGATCAGATCTTGGTTGGACTGCGGTCGGGACAGGCTCCGTAATGGCTGGCTCGTTGATGACTATAGTCTACGGCGAACCTCTTACCGGAGAGCCTCCGGTTGTCAGCATACGGACCGCAGCTGCACATCACCAGCCTAAACGGATAACCCAAGAGCAAGCGGGTGGTGCAGAGGTTCGGGTTCTCCAGGCAGAATGGCGGGCTATTGATGAAGATCGCACGCTTGCCACGCTATCATCTTCTTCATACGCGTATGTCGCCGAAGTGAGTCTCGTCTGCTATTCTTGTAATCTGTGGCCGGCAAAAGGGAGAGGTAGCAGTAAGATTTCTGCAACAGCAACGTCCCTCCCCTGGATTTGGGCATGGAATGAGGATCAGGAGATATCAGCCCTCTCCGACGATGCCCATCTCAACGGACACAGACACCGCCGCGGAAATGGTGGATGGGGCGAATTCTATGTCAACATGGCGCAGTCCCTTAGCACCGCTGAGAACCCTCCACCTGTCCCAGTGATACGACCTGGGGTTGGCACTCTAGGAACTTCCGATACGCCCATAGACAGGAGTAAAAGGTTCTCCCTGTTTAGCAATGGGACTATACATGGCTTCCTGATGGGAATGGCATTTCTCGTTGTCTTCCCATTAGGAGTGCTAGCCATGCGCTCGCAATCCAGCAAGTCATTCAAATACCACTGGATCATTCAGCTCGTCGCCTCCCTCTGCACTGGCGCAGGAGCCATTATCGGTATCATTATGAGCCGAGGGTCATTCAACTCCCCTCACCAGGTAGCCGGACTGCTGGTATCCGGTGTACTTGGCCTCCAAGCGTTTCTGGGGTGGAGACACCATGTAATTTTCCTACGGGTCAGACACCGAACCTGGATCTCGCATGCCCACATCTGGGCCGGAAGATTGATTATGATTGTGGGCTGGGCGAACTTTCTCAGCGGGATGGTTTTTGTAGCAACTGGCCCGTTCTGGGTCATCCTGGTGTCTGCGATTATTGTGGGAGAGATTGTTGGTCTCACCTTCTGGGTTTGGACCTGTAATAGACGCAAGTCGCGCAAGGCCCCCCCTGAGGCGTCAGAACTATGGCAAGGGGAGCGAGACGGGGAATACTTCGCTGTAGGTGAAGATGAGGAGACAGAGATGAACGACATGGGTGATCACGACAAACATGAGAGTAGCCCGTATGATCCTATGCTTCCACGACGTTCGCATTAAACTGGAGCCGTGGTAGGTTTGTCTATGTGTCTGATTGGGCAACATGCTATGAAATACAATGTAGCAAAGCGAATATTTCTATACGAGAGACTCAAGAATGATACTCCACTTCTTCTTTCAATAACCATGACAGAAACTGAAATCTAGCAATTCCTTATTTATACCAATAATTATTCACCTTTCCAGTTTCTCCATGCCTCCTCCCATATAATCAAGTGAAGCGGGACCCAACAGTCCAGGACCATCATAGCTATGGACACCTTTTAAGTCACATACCGCAGCAAGCCACACTATACATTCACAACCCTCAAGTCGATATAACGAAAATGACTCCTCACATTAGGTTCTACATGATCTCAACACGCAGAATATCCTCCAAAGTCACCCACAAGAAACTTAATACAAATACCACTTACAAACCTCGCTTCAACTCAAACTGCTGATCAACAACATCACCAACCATATCCTCCAACCCCTTGAAGACAATCCCCAACTCCCTCTCCGCCCTCCCGGCATCAACCCTATAGCTAATACCCTCATCACCCTTCAACCCAAACCCAACCCCAGGATACCTCCCGTCTAAAAACCGCCTCACATCCCCCCAAGACCTCGTCTCGGATGCCAACAAATACGACCTCAACCCGCTCACGCCACCATCCAAAACACGCACATGCACATGCGCAACATCATCGACATGCACGCCCAGGAACTGCGGGAAGCTGGGCGTCTCGGCGAACAGCGATTGGAAAAGCGTGCCGCTGGACCCGTCGAGCTGTTCGGGAGTTTCTTGGACGAGACTACGGCCGTAGACGAAGACGGGGTGGAGGGTGACTATGTCGAAGTGAGGATGGTTGGCGGAGTGGAAGTCGAGGGTGGCTTTGTGGGCGGCGAGTTTGCTGGCGTGGTATTGAGCCATTGGGGGGAGGCTGGGGATTGTCGAGTCCGGGGGTAGAGTGTAGTTTATCTCGTTGTCCTCTGGTTTTTTTTCCTTCTCTTAGTGTCTATTGGGTTTTATGGTGGGAAAGGAGCTTACCTCTGACGATCACGCCGTCCTTGAGTTCTCCCAGGGAGACTAGCGATAGTACGGAGCCTGTGACTACTACCTTCTTGACACTGGACACCTTTGCCGCTGATTCTAAGATCGTGATGGTTCCTCGCTTGGCGGGGGTAACCAGATCATCACTGCCTGGCTTGGGCAATGGCGACGCCAGATGCAGTACATACTCCACACCCTTCAATGCCTCGTCGAAGCATCCGGGGACGGTGATATCCGGTACAATCACAAATTCCAATTGCTTCTCGTACTCGGCGAAGATACGACGGAGTTTGTCAGCTTGTTCCTCACGACGAATAGAGAGACGAACACGGTAGCCCGCTTGCAAAGCGCGCAGGGCGACCTGGGAGCCGATGAAGCCTGTCGCGCCGGTGATGAGTGTTAGGGCCATGGTGGTTTGTAAACTTGCTATCTGTCTAACAGGATTAGAGGTTGCTTGTGGAAACCATGGAATGGTCTATAGTATTTATATTCATTATTCTCTTTATTATTTCTATGCTGTTCTTTACGCTGACAAACAGTGGTGATCATTAATCACTAAGTCGTTATCAGGTTGGGGTTGAGGCGAGATTCAACCCAATCATCCTTTAATCAGGCCGGCCGAATAATCAACGCGATTCCTGGTTGAATCCCCTAAATTAAAATTGTCTAAAAATATCGATTGACTAGCATTTGTCTATTATTTTATTTTCATACGAATATATATCTAGCCTGTTCTATGCGCTGACAAACTATGTTTTCCTTCTGATCATTAATCAGTCAACAGCCGAATTCGGATCGGCAATTGTTTTTTGGTTTAGTGATAGAGAGCTATGACGTTATTCCCAATCTAGATATGTAACTAAATCTATGGAAGCTGGGGTATCTGATTCTCCACATAAGCTTAATCATTAAAAATAGTCTTGAGTCATTGAGACTGGTCCGATGCGTTAGCCCTAACTAGTACTGTATCGGGATAAGAATATTGCATGTCAGGATTAGTGATCAATAACCATAGCCTCGGAGTGTCTCCGCATTCAGGATTCTATCAGTATGGGACAGGATAAGGCAGTTTACTGTAGCTGAGAATCGTTATAAACAAGGTCATGGTGACAATGTCTGCACAGTCATGTCGTCATCTTCTCAACTCTACTACTATACATAAAATATCCACATCTCCACTAGCAGGGCCATCAACAGAATGTCCTCCCTCCGCGCAGCAGTATACATCGCCCCACCGACCCCCTTCAAAACGCCCGGCAAGGGAAGCGGCGGTGGTCTCTGGTCCCCCATTTCCTGCACACTGGTCTACTCAGCCACCGAGGCCGTCCTGGTAGACACGCCCATCACCATCAAACAGACACAGGACTTGATAGCTTGGATCGAGCGCATCGCGCCGAAGCGGAAGCTGTCGTACATCTACATCACACACGGCCATGGCGATCACTTCTTCGGTCTTCCACTGCTGCTTCAGCGCTTCCCTGAGGCCAAGCCCGTAGCTACGGCCGCCACGGTGCAGCATATGAAGCAGCAGGTCGAAGAGAAGAACTATCAGGCTCAATGGGAATCGCGATTCCCCGGAGAGATCGCGAGACCGTTCGTCTTGGCGCAACCGTTGCCGGGAAGCAACGAGTTTAAGCTGCAGGACAGATGGCGGTTCCAGGCCATCGAGGTTGGACACTCGGACACGTACGATTCCACTGCGTTGTGGGTCCCCGACCTGCGACTGGCTGTTTGTGGGGATATAGTGTATGGACAGGTGCACCAGATGCTCTTTGAGGCTAATACCGCCGCCAAGCGCGAGGAGTGGATAAGAGCAGTGGAGAAGATCGAAGCTCTGGATCCGTTATATGTGGTATCGGGCCATTGCCAGGAGGGGGAGGTTTTGGGTCGCTGGCACCTCGCCAACACAAAACAGTATATCAGAGATTTTGAGAATGTGCTAGAGAAGAAGCCCAAGTCTCCGAGAGAGATTGTGGAAGCGATGACCAAGCTGTATCCCGATCGGTATAATACCGGCGCGCTTATAATGGGTGCCATGGGCTATTTTCAGGCATTGAAGGAATCTCGGATTTAAGATTAATGTATGTACATTGATTCAGGAGGTTAAGTAACCTCAATCAGAGCTAGTTCAACTGAATCTGTAGCTGCTCACTAAGTCACTGTAGACTGAAGACTGCTTCTACGTGACTGTTCTTGCGGTATGCAACAAAGTTCACAGTATATTCTGTCAACGGCTCAGTGGCAGTCCATCAGCTGCAGGGAACTGTCCCTGAGGCCAAGTGGCCAATAAAGCGTCCTATGCTTTGACAGCTCCATCCTGGGCCAGCAGGACAATTGTTGTGCTCTTATGCGTATCGATGACCTGGCGTTGCTGTGACAGGAAGACAGGTGGGTATATGACCTCGACATGAATTCCTGAGGGATTTAGTGATGCGGGCTCTGCACTGTCCACTCAATGCCAGCTGCTGACCCTGCTCCCAGGAGCAATGAAGATCATGGTGACCACACGCATGTAGAGGGACTGGGCGATATGTTTACAGCAGACCACACTTAGGAGCTTGGGTATTAAATCGACGATCATAAAGCATAAACTGATGATGGGAGAGTTTGACTGTGATTTCTTCTATGAGCCATCATGTCCATACCGAGGCGTGCAGAGCACTGTCCACATCGGAGCGTCGGAATCCCGGTGTGCGCCCCAAACATATGCCTCTACTAATCAAAGCTGTTGTCAAAGTTAGAGACTCAACTCTACCAACAAAGGAACCAAAGGGCCTTACTTTGTGTGAAGCGGGTAACGTTAATGGGTGTCCGTGACAGCTTTCGGTCGGTTTCTGAGGGGGCAGAGGAGAACAGACGCACACCTTTCTCGCGGAGATAACCAGCCAGGTCTTGCATATCAAACCAATCTCCCTCCATTTCCTTTCGGATGTCAGGCGAGAATCGTGCGAGAGGATCGTGGATCGTAGCCCATTGCTGGTAGCGACATAAAGGTTTTTCACCTTCTTGAGCTTGACCGGTGGATCGTGCATAGTGGGTGCCAGCACCCCCAAGCTTGAAGAACGGGACCCCTGCATAGCACTCCTCCAATCTTTTCTGACTCAATTTAGCGTGCAACAATGCTTCGAAGGCTGCAGTCAGGTGAGGTCTATCCATAAGGGTAAACAGGAACCGAAATGGACGTTCGATGCGAGACATAGGAACGGATGGATTCGAGAGCACCAAGTACCCTTGATATACACATGCCAGGTGTAATTGTTCGATGAAGAGAGGAATCTCCATAGCAGAAGGCTCTATGGGCTCAGACAAGGGAGGGGAAATCGGCTTTGACGGACTACTCTCCGGAGGAGTGGTCTGTTCGGCGTGAGAACGCGGGCTCGTATTGTGATCTGTTGCCGTGCCGTCTGGCCCCGCCGAAGTTGACGACGTGCTTTCCTCACCGTGCGATGTGTCCGGACTCTCGGGTTCGGCATCCTTACTGGCCTCCTTTGCCAATGCCAAACATGTTTGTACTGTATCACGTAAGTGGCTCGCGATGTCGGGGTGCGAGGAGAGAGCCCCCGACTGCACCAGATTATCGCTGAAGGAGACGACTGCCGAGCTCATTTTCTCTAGTGTCGCTTCCAGTTGAGAGATCCGACCCTTAAGCGATGTGATGTTGGCTTCCTTGCGAGAGCGGTAGGCCCGTTGTGCCAGGCGGATCTGCATTCGACGTCGCTATTTGACCCTTTTCGTCAGCCAATATTTCACACGAGGTGGCATCACCATCGTCGACGCACTTCTTCTGGGTCTTCGCCCATTCGAGTATCCATCGTTTTACGTGGGCGACCACGCTTCTTAGCAGTCGGTCCACCAGATGACTCATTCAGTTCACGTTTCGTTGTCTTCTGGGCGTTCTGAGTCGGTCGTTGCGTGTCAGTCGGTGGCGTTCGTCGATCCAAGCTCAACATGCGCTCTCCGGCGTCGGACCCTGGGAGTAGAAAGCCATTGGGTACAGATAACGAAGCGCCGTAGCCCTCCGATGGAAACTGTCCGTGCTGATAGAACGGTTCGGGGATGGGATATGACGAGGCGGAGAGGAGGGAGGTGAGCTGTGAGGTTGCGAGAGAGCTCTCTAGCAGCGACGGTCGAAAGCGTGGAGATAACAAAACCTTCTGGTAAATCTCATCCCAGGGCAGGAGAGGCGCGTCGGGATCCCCAAAGCCCTCATACGTCTGGAGCTGCATTCCTCCATCCATGATGCTGTGACGGAAGGCAAAGAGTGAAGATCGATCGGATAAGTCGAGAAGCAGGAAACGGTACGATCGATACTCAGAGAGATTTAATCATCAGGCCAGTCGGAGGAACTACTTTTAGAATGGCCGTTAGCGTGCCACAGGTGAGTGTTCGGCGTGTCGGGAGCCATTGCCACGCTACAGTGATTGGGCAAGACCCAAATAGAGCCAATCCTGGTGCGATTTTAGGTTGCCCAATCCCTCAACTTTAAACATTCGTAGTGTTCATTAAAGCCTGTCTTCCCGAACCTGATTCGCTAGCGGGACGTTCGGCTCGGAGTGTTCACTAATCATGAAATTCGCTCCTTTTCGATTATTCAAGGAATTCCGACCGCCAAGCCTCTGCTTGCCCCCTTTCTAGAAGATTTCCCTTTTGGTATCAATACGAATAGGGTATAGTAAACTGGTCACTAGTCCAGTTCTAGCTAGGCTATGGAGATCCCGATCGTTGGAACATTTCTATCGCGCTCAAAATCAAATGCCATGGTGTTGAAAACTTTTTATGATATATAACAGAACCTACTCCGAAAGACTATTACATTACGTCAAAACATGGGAAGAGTCTAATAAGCTACACTTGTGCGTATTCCTTCAGATACGCAACAAGCTTCTCGGCCCCCGAAACGGGAATGGCGTTGTAGTTGGACGCCCGAATACCTGTCCACGTCAGTACCTTGTCCCAGCGGGGTAGAGCATCAGGGCATGCTTACCTCCGACACTGCGGTGGCCTTTCAGCCCAGTGATACCGCGCTCAACAGCTCCCTTCAAAAAGGCCTTCTCGGCCTCATCGACATTGCCGCCCTGGCACTCGATGTCAGTGGTCATCTCAACCGACCACACTAGCATAATAGAAAACCTACCTTGATCACACGGAAGCAAATGTTCATTCGGGAGCGCACACTCTTGTCCGGCACAACCTTATAAACTTCGGGATACGCGTCCGCCGCCTCATAAATCATATCGGCCTTCTTCTGGGCCTCCGCTTGCTGTCCGTCCACCTTATCGGGGAAAGTAACCAACAGCTTCTTAAGAACTTGGCCTGCCAAGTAAACACTAGACGGCGTTAGATGTATCCAGAGCTGACGGAGGAGCAACCTACTCGAAGATCGGAAGGGTGTTGTAGAGACTGTTGTTCTTGGCAGTGACGCAGTAGTCAAGGATCGTGGGAGCAATGGGCAGTCCAAGCTTGCGAAGGATCGTTGGGGGGCACGAGACGAGCAGGTCCTTTCGGATGATGATGCCAGTCACTCCGGCACAGCCCAGATTTTTTTGGCTAGTCGGTTCAGCTTTTGTTAAGGGTCTAAGAGATCAGGGATGTCTTACGCTCCGAAGAACACAATAGAGTAATTCTGACTCACGGTTAGCAATTGACCACTGGCCAGCATAAAACCGGGGATTCCATACCTTAATGGGGATACGCCTGGAGAGGATGTTGGAAGAGAAATCTCCCACCACGAATGGATCCTCTTCCGAGCCGGTCGGCTCAAGAACCTTGGGGAAGTTAGGGTATTCAACACCGTCCACCGTTTCGTTATCACACATATAGACCATAGTAGGCTTAGGGCTCAGCTTCCATGTCGATTCATCGGCAATCTTGCCGAACTTTCCATCGTTGACTTTTCGGGAGTCACTGGCAATGTTGACGTACTCGGGTCCAAACAGGCGGATCGCCTCCTGGCTAGCCTTGGACGACCATCTGCGCCTCCATTAGTATCTCAGAATGAGCTCAATGGATGCGATTGGAGACTGACGATCCCGTAACCAAGTAGTCCAATCGCAGCTCTGCCTCAACTTTCTTGCGGAGCTCCTTGACCACATCATCTTCGCTGGCTTCGCCAAGCTCCTTCACAATCTTTTGGCGCTGCTTTTCAACCCAGGCCGAAACGATATTGTACGCCGTCGCATCGAATTGGCCCGATCCTCCACCCTGCATCATCAAGATCTCGTAGTTCGAAGGGACATCGAGGAAGCTCGCAAGGTTGGCCTTCATGGTGTTCAAGATGTTGGCCGCAATCTCGCTCCGGTGGCTGTGCTCGGCGATGCCCCTGAGAAAGTCAGAATACCTTCTATAGCTTCAATTCCAGCAATGCAGGTCCGGAGCTTACAGGCCAGTCTGCTCATAGTTCTGCAGAGCTTCGGCGGCTTCGGCTAAGACGTCAGTGGGCAGGGCCGCAGGGCCGGCACCCATGTAGGTAATATCTTCTCTCTTCATATTGCAATTGGCGTTTGGCTGGACGAGATCTGGGTACTTTTCCTCAACGACGGATTTAAAGGACCCCTCCACTCGTTCGGAGGAAAATCGGCGGGTGAGTCATCTTATCAGTCAGGTGACTGCCCCGCGGTTGATCTTATCAGCACTTCTAACAGCCGGCAAAAGGTTCCCCCGCGCCTATAGTTCCCTTCAAACACAGCTTTCCAAAGTACATCGTGTGAAAACACAATATAAAGATGGTCATTGTCGCAGTAGCCGGCGGTACCGGCGGTGTTGGCCGCACCATTGTCGAGGCACTAGTCCAGCAAGCAAAACATCAAGTCATCTTGCTGACTCGTGGGGTATGAATGTGTACACTAGCTCCGGAATTATATTCAAGAGCTAAGCAATCTCCCAGGTACCCAAGTCAGACCCTTTGCTTGACCAGATTCGACAGGTGCAAGTAGATTACAGCGATACCACGGCGCTGGTACGCATCTTAGACCACCATGAAGTGCACACCATTATCTCTGCAATCGGGATTATCTCCGATGAAACGTCTCAATCTCAGCTCGCGTTGATCAACGCTGCGGCTCAATCCTCAGCCACCAAGAGGTTCATTCCCAGTGAATATTCGTTTATTCAGACTGAAGAGTATACTCCCCTAGATTACTATCCCTTTTTGCGTTTAGCTTACAACTATAGTCTCCTTGCGATCGACCCAAGTATCAAGTACTGGTTGGCTGCCGCTGACTTACTCAAAACTACCAGTCTTCAGTTTACCAGAGTTATCCCCGGGTTCTTCATGGATTACTGGGGAATGCCCTTTGTTCGTACTAACCTTCAACCCTTCACATTTGGCATAGACATCGCCAGCTGCCAGGCGGCTATTCCCGGTGATGGCAACGACGTTATATGCATGACATATACGTACGATATGGCTACGTTTATTGTACGGTTGCTGGATGAGGAGGGTTGGCCTGAGTTTAGTGTTATTGTTGGCTCTCAGACTACATATAATGAGCTCCTCCAGCTAGCTGAAGAGTTACGAGGTATCTGCAGAAGAGTTCCCCGACATGCCATTAAACTAACTTCATTTAGGTAAGAAGTTCCAGGTAGTCTACGACAGCGCAGATCGAATCAAGGAAGGAAATGTCACTATTCCTCCAATGCCTACCGACACAGGGTATTCTGTTGAGGAGCTTAAGGAGACTACGGCATTAGTGAGTCGGTTGACTATTGCCGGAGTGTTTGATTTGCCCCGTGAAAATCGGTTGAATGCGAGGTTTCCAGATATCGAAACAACTAAGCTCAAAGATTTCCTATCGCAAGCGTGGGAAGGCTATCAATAACTGCTTTTATATAAATATTTGACCGGAATTTTGTCACTTTCCAACAAAAATATTTAAGTGCACTCGCCTTCATTCTTATGATAAGCCTTAATGCAGAAAACACAAACCACACCAAGGAAATTCAATTTGAAATAATGAAATAACCAAGCTTTCTTCGAACACAGCATAAGTCCTATCCTCACCTGTTTCAAAAGTGTGGTCTCCTCATCTCGAACGTAAGACACTCCTCCTCAACCCTCTTCCCGAACTAATCCTCATCATCCTGATTGAAGTAATCATCATAATACCCAACATCTGCAGAGCCCACCGTCAGCCACGTAAGCCATCATCCGGACGCCACCAACAGCGGGAGACACCCTACATCCTCCATTATGCAGTCCAGAACCACTATAATGATGTTCTGCATTAGATCGTGGCCGTGGTTCTTCGTCAAACTCCCAGATTCCTGACGTATAGCTCCGGAAAGCAGCTTCTTTCTCGCACTGGCGACCTTCTTTCCACTCCCGATGGTGGGACATCCACATGGACATCGGGCTATTCGATCTGTAGAAATATTATTCTAGTTGGGGCATTTTCCTGATTGTGTTGTGAAGAAAATGAACCAGTATCGTTTGCGTTGTGGAAAGGCATTAGATGTGAACAAGTTCCGAGTCTAATATATACCTTTGGTATTTACGCACAGGAAAATAAAGTATCGCCATGTCTTAATAGTGTGATTAGTCAAGTCACTAATAGCCGTGCAGGATACTTCAATCATGACTAAAGCAAGTCAATCAGTGGCCCTTCCATGGAAAAGGCAAACTACATCTCCTAGGTACCGATCAACCATTACCCAATACAGCAACACTCAGTTAACCGTCTACTGACATGTCATTTCACATACCATTTCACAACTACAATATAGTCATCAAAAGCGTCTAACACCTCAGCACCGCATGTCAGCATATCATTTAAGATACACGAATCAAACAAGAACAATCCGCCCAAGCTGAGCACCTCACTAGCCGTCGTTCAAATCTCCAAGATAGTCGAGATGCTCATCGTTGATGTCGTCTAGTATGTCCATTAGCTGCTTTATGAATATAGTATTCTGTAGGGACGAATACAGAAATCGTACCTCTGTCTTCCATGTCTTGCTCTGGTGTGAGGTAGATGGGGTCATTGCCTTGGTGCAATGATGTGGACACATTTTCGAATGCTTTGTCTTCGATGTACTCCTCTTCTTCGTTGATTGGGGCTTTGGGCATGGACATTATGATTTGGTATGAGGTTTAGATGAAAAAGTGTGAGGATCAGATGGAGGAAATCAATGTTAGACTTGTGATCTCGGCATTATCTTATATAGAATCTGAGTCTTACTACTTATGAACAATGATGAATAAGAGAGGGCCTACTAGGAAGTGCCTAGACTATCTAGCATAAAAGAAAGCATATGATTTGTTAATACTCAGTGGTGATATTAAAGTGGCGTAGTTCCAGGACAGCACCAACCTTAAAAGCAAGATTGGTATGGCTTCGGAATACTACTCACTGAATCTTACCATGGGAATACACACACGCAAGTTCTGGTAACATTTACCTCATCCCTGCGGATGATGATGATGACGAATACTTGTGCCCAACAAGGAACCATCAAGTGAGAGCACGTATGGACTTAGGATTAAATTTTCGAGATCATATGAGGCTATCTACTTACTCTCACTAAGGGGGCTAAGACACTATAGATGATCTAATTGACTAGTTATCTATATCGTCCTTTTCGCTTCCCTAGAAGGACCCATATACGTGTTTGGCGAAGTATATGGCATCTCAGATGGACTTACTAGCCTTTGTTGGGCAGATATACTAGTCTGGTGTCTTGTCGCCTGCGTGATTCCGGCGATCTACTCCTGGACTCTGGGCAAGTACCAAGAGACTTTTTGAGATAAAAATAGCTCCGGAGCTATGTACCTCTGCCAAGTCTTTCTCCTGGGATACCGTGACAACGGAAGCTTCATTTGTCTTCTCGAGACTCCTGGCGCCCAGCTTGTGCTCAGCTGAATAATAACAGATCATTTACTAACTAATCAATATAGTATAGAGTCACATACTGTGGGGCTTTACGTACCCGAGTTCACCTTACCCTCCTGAAGGTCTCAAGTACCCCTCATTTCTTTGTGTCATAAGTTTGTTAAAGATGGACCGGCTTTAACCAGCTTGTGTGAGGTCAGAGAAACCGGTGCTTATAGTCGACGGAAGTGGGTGTATACTGGGTTGTTATATTTGGCTGACAACAGATTCCCAGCTTTCCTGCACCAAATTAACATGCCACAGCAATAAGCATTCATGACTATCACCATAGGTATCCTAACTATGCAGAGGCAGCTTCTAATAGTCTTCAGGGCTGTTCTCACAGAGCATTCTATGTTGTTTACCTCACAAATGCCACTCCCTGAGTACGGGGTGGGCTCCATGGTACTGGGAACTCTGATGCAAGGTCAGGATTGCCCTCCATGCCGAAATAACTACACCACAAGTAATTATGCTTAATATCTGCCTCCTCCCAGGCTTCCTGGGTTTTCTCAGCAATGAACTCGCTGAAAGGGTTCCACAGCGCCTTGTATTCCTCCATGGCTGCCTTCTTTGTCTCGTCATTCTCTTCTGCCTCTTCCTGGGCCTTAATCTTTCCGAACCCCCCACTGCAAAATACTTGGAGGTACGGCCTTTCCTGGTCTCCAATATCGAATTTATCAATACCCTCTTTGAGTTCATAAAACTTGCGACGGCAAATAAACTCCCAGTCGATCATTGTGTCGATTAACTTTGCTATTGTCGCATTGGGTGTTGTGGCAGAGATAAGCTGCCGTTTCAGACTTGCTCACTCTCTGAGGCGGACCTGCCAACAGGTCGAACACAACTTGTATGTTACCAAAACGTCCCTCCTTAGAAAAGATACGCTGGAAGTCTGCCAGTTGCTCCATTTTCCGGCGGCACGTGTCATATGGCCATTTTTTATGAATCAATGATGTAACGTAGATACTGATCAGAATTGAGTTTGTTTCAATAGAGAATTCTCAACATTCTTCCTCATTCTCGGAATCATTCTACCGTGGGTTCTTATTAGATGAATGTGTAAACAAATATCATTTCCTCAGATACCTCCCAATCTTCAGGATTCTAAATTTCACACAACCTTATCTGGATCCTCATCTACCTCGTCGATCAACTGCTCCGGAGACCGAAACTCCAACCCAGCAAAGAACTTCCGCCGATGTGCCTCAACCTTCTCAGGATCAAGAGACACAGCACCCAAAGACACAAGCAGCTGCAAATGCGCACGCAACAGCTCCTCGGGATCAGTCGAGTTTTGAATCGTCCCCAGAATCTCACCCAAACCAACACGCTTGACATCACGCAGCGCCGGATACCGCTTCTGAACCAGCTGTGCCAGGTCATTCCAGCACGTCTTCGTCCCAGATACATACACATACGGCTCCCAGACAGGAGCATCAGCTAAGAGTGCCAACGCAGTCGCAAGATCCCTTGCGGCGGTGACATCGACCGCATCGGTTCCCGTCCCGGGGATAACAATCTGGTTTCCTGTGATGTCTATCGGGAATGCTTCACCGATGTCCATGAGGTACAAATTCCTCCTCGGCACGATGTAATCCACTAGCCAGCCGTTGACGACCAGTGTCCACTCTATCTCTGTTTGCTCGCGTAGGACCTTCCGGATGGGTTCTCGTGACTCCCAGTAGAATGTTGGCAGGTCGGGGTAGTTTTCTATGTCGCCGAAGAACTCGGATGGAATGAAGCGCTTGCATTTCGGACTAAGTTGGCATGCACTGATCAGGTTCAGGTGGATGTCGATGAACTCCGCCTTGTACGCTAGTATCACAGATATGAGCATCTCGCAGTCCCTAAGTGCGGTCACTATGGAGGGGACGGAGAAGTCGGTGATTATTTGGGTGATGTATGGGCGGTTGCGGAAGCATTCTTTCTCTCTGCGAGTTAGAATGACCACCGAGTGGCCGTACTTGGGAAATTCATCGCTGATGTATCTGGCTAGCCCGCCAGCTCCGGCAATAGCGACACGCATGATGGATGAAGTTGTCTTGGACGTTGTTCTCTGAATGTAATGCAAGCTGATGAATTTTATGTGTGGAATAACAGACTAGGAACTTGTTGTTGCCTGGCGTATATACCAGGGCTCACGGGGTTTATGCCGTAGCGGATACACGGGATAAAATCATCATGGGCGACCAATTCTTCAGCTATTCTTATACTTTACATTATAAGCCATCGAGGGTAATTTGCAGTGGATTGAAGCTACTTCCTCTTTCAGCTACTTCCTGTTATAGTTCACAAGTCCAGACTCGTCCTGTCTATAGACTTTATACTAATAAGTTGATCTAAATTAACAATCTTAGGATTAAGAATCTGAAATCGTTAATCTGAACTAACTGTACAATTTGCATTGAAATAACGAACGTTTTCAAGTAATAGGGTTCCCATATATGGCATATATGGTTTATTACAAGCATTTGCTAATGCTTTAAAATTATTATTAAAAGAGTATGTAGCACCAACACAAGCTAATATAATTTTATTCTTCCTTGGACCTATTATAACTTTAACTTTCTCTTTATTAGATTATTAACAGTTCTTTTTGGTTCAGGTTTATTTAGATCTGACTATAGTTTAGGCTAATTACATATGTTAGCAGTTAGTTCTTTAGCTAAGACATGATTGACGTTCGACTAGAAGAAAAGTAGAAGTGTTGTGCACTCGAGGGCTTGATTCTCTCATCACTCAAGACTTCTTGCTCCAATTGCGAACACTTGATCGCTATTGTAAGTTGAGGGGCTCTAAATACAGCATAGAGCAGTAACTCCTATCACTCTAGGTGCGCTTAAAACTGCAGAGAGTCTTCTTCTGCGAGTCAGTAGTAAGGTTACATCTGTATATAGCCTTTTCCCATTCATTTGGGCGCAATCCATGAAGGGCCATAGTGCTAATGACGTATGTCTTGAACCCTTCGACGCCATGTCACTCCAAGCGAGTCTGTTGCAAACTCTCCAGAGCATTTGGACCCCACAGAAGTATGTAGTCCGCAAAGATCGAGATACACAGCTTGGCATTTCGAAATCTGGGCCAATATTGCCCGGCCCCCAAATGATCGGCTAGTCTCGGATTATCATAAATTTGTGCACAAAGGTTTGTGCTGTACATCAACTACATGCTGTCTTACGGCTAAGCCTTGCTGAAATCCTATGCTAGCCAAGGTAAGGTGTTTACTTAGCTATATGGCTTGAAAACTCGCGTTCATATGAGGTGATCAGTCGTCTCAGCTAAGCGGACTACAGAGGAAGCCATGAATAATAGCATACACTATGCCGAAACTTCCGATCTACCTAGAAAATCAGACGATCCGGGCATTTCCCGAAGCGAAATCTAGTTCCTCGCTCACGAAGTGCCCAATCAGGCCAATACGATTTGTTGATTCTCCCATAGTCCGGGGCGAAACCAAGGAAGTGGCTGAAGGAGGAAACAGAGCCCACCTGTCAGACCCTCACGACGGGGCCAAGTATGCATATAATTTGTGGCATCGTCTACATGTCGCAGTACTTGCCCCGAAGATGTAAGCCAACAGACATCAGGTACCCCGTATGATGTCGGCCTAGCCCTAAGTGCTGCTGATCAATACCTGTTCAGCCATCTGACCCTGCGGCTGTACCCGATTTGATGCTCCGCCATCCTTACGCCAAGGCTCTCCGATGTTGCCAATTAGGGCTGATGTCATTGCAATGAACATAAGCCTCCGTACCTTACATAAAATAGCTATATATACTGACTCTGGTGAATGTAGGATGTCCTCAATGCCAAACTTCTTTCTCTCGAGCCTTCCCTTGCAGTTAGCACAATTCGATAGTAACGCAACAACACAATGGTCCGCATAAAACCAGCCAACGTTGTCCTTCTCCTTTCATTACTTCTTACCGATGGCCATGCTGCGGATACCAAACTCTCCGAAAGCCTTGTAGGCTGTGATGAAGTGTCATGTCCCAAGGAAAGCTACTATGATCGTTGCACAGTCGGCGACAAGACATTCCTAGGTATCGGTCTAGCTCGCATCCCCGACGTCCCTTCAACACTCGAAGGCCTGTCTCTTATCAAGGGGGTCAACGTTTCACACGGTGAGGAGGGAAAGAGGCCATTTAACTCAGCATATTACCTTGGAACGCCGTCAGAGCTCGACGTCAAAGACTTAAATGGCTGTGTCGTGACCTTCAACGACCCCCCTGAGAAACAATTCGATGGCCCCATAAAAATAGGCAAGGACAGAAACATCACCGATGTCCAAGCGGCACGTGGTACTTGTCCGGACATCATTGAGCAGAGGTGCATCGATACGCTTACGGAACGGGCGCGCAGCGTTACTAATGCCACTTCGACTGGGAATGTGTGCGCGGCGTTGGAGCGCGAGCTAAAGCAGAATACATTTGAGGGATGTGGGGATCTCGGTGGGAAGGGTAAGGGTTTGGGGAACTTTACCGTTACCTCGTTTGGGGATCTTTTGACTGTGAAGAACTCGACAGATTGTTGGCCTATTAAGCCCAAGTCTGATGGTTTGGCTCTGATCACAGAGAATACTGCCGTGGTACGTGAGATATATTTATTTGACCCGTCCTACCTAGGGTCGAGTATATTTCCTGGAAGTATAGGCTGATATAGGATACTATGATGCAGGGAAACCGTACCGTGGAATCGATGTATCAAGAGGCCTGGAAAATCACCCCAGTGCTGACTGTGTTTGTTGGTAAGGGCAATAGCAGCCTGGTGGATAGAGCCTCTTCCCAGATGACATGTTTGAAAGTCGTGACTGAAGAGAACCCCGAAGAAGAGGAGAACAGCTCTAAGAACTCAGCATACATGCTTAGCGCCAGCCCGCATGTCTCAGTTATGGCCATGCTCATAGCTGCCGCCTGGGTAGTGCTCTAGATATAGCCTAAATCAGATACCCCAAGATGATATACATTGATTAGGTTCTGATTAATACAGAGGTGTACCCAAACAGGGCATGATAAGGTTTTTCAAGGATCATGGGGAATTTATCTGTAGCGATTTCGAGATTCTTTTTTCCTGCTCGAGTGCAACGACAAGTGTAAAGACAGCCAACGTAAAACTTCAAGACATGCCCAGAATCTATGGTTTAATCTCGTACTAGGAGGTACTCTTTGTACGTTTTCTCTTTTATAACAAAATAAAATGAAGTAAATCATCAATCGAGTCAGTGTGGCCGAGTGGTTAAGGCGATAGACTAGAAATCTATTGGGTTCGCCCGCACAGGTTCAAATCCTGTCGCTGACGTATCTTTTTGAACTTTTTTGTTCATTCATCCGTTCTAAGGGCAACCAACGTACTCTGGAGCAGATCCAGTTCCCTTTGCCTGGAGTCTTGCCTGCTGATAGTAACAGGTCGAAAGTCTACCAGAAAGAAGCCGGCCATCACCAACTTGAGATTACGCGATACCGTATATGAGTATTACAGCAGCTCCCTCCGTGCACCAATACCATAATCGCGCATTCAAAGGCAACGCATCAGGCTTAATGCTTAAAACAACCATGGCCTGATTTGGTCTTCAACCCAGCGATGTAACCGGCCCTATCTGGGATCCAAGCACCGTACTCATCACTATTATAACAGCGAGAACAGGAAAGAGGAGTACCTTCTGAGCTGCACTGGGAGATAACTGGTGTTGAGCTTGACAGACGGGTCAAGGTCTGCAAGGTCTGAGGGAGATTAACAATGTAGGAATGTTTGAGGTTGAGGACGGCGGAGGCGACAACACAAATTGACAATGCAATCGAAGATATTGTTTAACAATAAAGGATATGGATTTATATGAACAGAGACGAACTGCTTTCTCAGACACTGCTCCGGTCTAGAAGGCGGAACTCAGCCATCACTTTCAACAGAACCTGGACTAGTACACAAGGAGGGCGTTGTCTGTTGAGGATATAACGTAACTGCGGGACTCACTGAACACAACAGTGACTTGAAGTCTGCACTACTCCATACTCTGTAGTATCGTTAACGGGAAACTAGTGACTACCATAGCCACCATAAAAATGGAAAAAAAAACAAAAGTCAAAAAGAAACGTCAGCGACAGGATTTGAACCTGTGCGGGCGAACCCAATAGATTTCTAGTCTATCGCCTTAACCACTCGGCCACACTGACTTGATTATTAATAACCTGTCGCATCAAAGCATCATGAATCTAAGAATATAGTTAGGTGATGTTGCAAAGTCCTCGATCATGGCGTGAGCCAGCCATCGATATGTGAACGCTGCTGTGATAGGTGCACCTAATATGGATGAGGTCAGCCCACGACAGGCAAAATGCTCGATGAACCATGGTTGAAGTTCCGGTTCGACGTCGTCCCGATACTCAAAATATGGGCGTCATACCACTATGAGCCAGCAATGAAGTAATTTCGATGGAGATCCGCTCCAATGACCATGCGAGGGTAGAAGATATTTTCTGTCGTCCGTAGTACAGAATTGAAATCGTCCTGGAACGTTGTCGTGGTCATGAGACCGGCTCTCTGATGCACCGGGTAACCTGAAGGCAGTATAATAAAGTCATACACTCCCGTTGTAAAGTCTCGGATATTCGTGTTCCAGTGTATAATGCAAGCAAATAAGTCAGATATCCACAATGTCCTACATTTATTCACATGACGACAACGAAATTGCATCCTCTATTGAACAGAGGATACATGCCATGCGTAGCTATCAAGCGTAAGTTCGTGACACATTGGGGAACGGGAATAGACAAAGTTAACGATGTCGACTCCAATAGTGCACTGAGAAGTCGCCGTGCTTCCGAGGGAGCTCGAGACGCCGAGGAGATACACGACAATGAACCGCAAGCTTTGGAAGGGTCGCACGCGGTCCATCAGCAGACTACAGAGCCGACATTCAAGGTGTAAGTAGTTCCTATTCTTGAGGCTTCTGATCATTACATACTGATCTAGTAAGTGTTCATTTCGATTCCAGGCCATATGATATGATCAGAGACACCTCAGAAGAAGCTCCAGATGTAGTGCATCCACTGGAAGAGTGATGATAGCCATACTCTGTCCTTGCTGTTGCAACGTGACAGGTGTTATTGCCTCATCGATTCATGACCCACGTGATGCGATTACTGTGTACTGTACATGACTCGCATCTGTGAGACGTATAAATTACTGGAACGGGCTTCATGAATTGTCTTTCAGTGATGAAAGTTTGATAGGATACTAGTTAGTATATACTGTACGAGTACCCGAATGGCGCATGCGGGGAAGTCTGAAGGAGTTGCCGGACTCCGTGACACAAAAATTCAACTAATTAGAAAAGAATACCAAGTGCAAGTCAATGAGTTGGACAAATATTTTTTTTTCAAGTCCTTTTTAATTCAACTTTTCTGTACTCACTTTGATTTCAATTGTCACAATACTGTTACACGATCCGAGACGCGCTCTTCCGAGTCCCGAGAGGATTGCCGTCGCAGTCTCGGACTTTCGGGCTTTGGGGTAAGTGTTCCACACTTCATATAAGTAATTGTGTACTCCGTAGGGCCAAGGAGCATGGATCGGGTACAGCCGCGTTCTGGAACATTGTGCTGCCCTTTCGCGATATTACAATTGGAGTCTGCTTCGCTCAGCCGGTGTGATCCGCATGAAACAGTTAATGTTACTCAGTAGTTGCAGTGATACTTCCAGGTTTCTCGGCCAGGACACAGTATGACAAACTTGTTGAACACAAAGGAAAAGGGCAATTCTATTGATAGGCACACCTACTGACTGAGATTCAATTACGGGGAAAGCTTATCCGCCGGGGAAGGGAGGTATGTCCGTGCTTCTCTTCTTAGTCTTGATGGCGGCCAATTACCGTTCAGTACTTTGACAAAGATTTACTAATTCGTGTTACTTGAGAAGGACGTGGGGTGAGAAGTGATCGTCCAAGTCGAAGATGAAGATCAAGAAGTTAGCTTATAGGGTAGTCAGAACAGAGCCCTGTCAATGTGGCGTGGCCGCTTGGACCTGCAGCAAGCGTCCAACTGCGGGAATATTGCACAAATCAAGGGGCACCAGACAGGGATGCGTGTCCGACAAGGTCCGATAGCGGGCTGTTTCTCAAGGATTCCAAATATAACAAAAACGATAATAAGGGAAGAAAAGGAAAGGACAGGGGGTGAATAACAACACCAGTGAGAGTCCTAGCCTCCAACAACATGTAGCAAGCCAGACCAAATCATTACGTCACGGTCTCCTTGGGTTCACCTGATTCTACTTAGCCTCCATCAATATCAGCCCCATCAGTTGGAGAAGCGAGTAAAAAAAATCTAACGGCCGATAAAAATCAGATCGCTTGAGGTGGATTCTCGAAACCTGAAATGGCAAAGGGAAGTCAGACTAGTCCCTGTCGGGATCGATTGGACTGGAGGTCTCGGAACTTTTACCCGGTCAAACTGGTTCTTTTCATACCACAGCCCTACTGGTATCTTACCAACCATCTTTGAAGGTGTCCCTACATTCGAGATCTATCCCTACATAAATTACCCCTCTAACGATGTATCGTACAAGTACCTCAATACGAGGCTCATACACGGTCAGGTGGTTGACGTAATGTTGATCTTTGCCCGTCTGAAGTACAAATCTATTGATCCATTTGGCTATTTGACTTATTGATTGCTTGATCAATGCGCTGGCAGCAACCACACGATGAATGATCACAGGCCCAGACCGTGGCTTGCACCGTGACTTGTCATTCTTGCCAAGGGTCATGGATATACGTTGATTCCCTTAAACTCCCTCGTCGCATTCTCCCTCTCCTTTGTTCTTTCCTCCACGTCGTTTGTCTTTGTCCCTCGTCTCTCCGCGCTGTCACTTTTCTTTCTCTCCATATATACTATTGGAGATAGTATCTGACAGTCTTCAATACCATCCTACGCATCTCTATGATAACGTGGCCTATTTCGACATCTCTATCTATACACGGTTTAGTGCACCTGGTCATCTTTGCTTGAACGAGAAGGTGAGGCAGAGAGAAGGAAAAGAAAAGAACCCCTGACCGGTGGGTATTCTGCCAAGGGGCACATTCCCTTTTTTGGTGGTTGAAGTTACATTCCCGCCTAATCGTGACAATATAGACGGTTCCTGTTCCACATTACCCTCTTCTGAAACCAGTCCGATGAAATCAACCGTCATGGCCAACAGGGTGGATAGCCCCACGTCGTGCACCTTCATTCGAAGCAGTGACTGTAGCAAACAATGTTTCGTCCGACGCTTTTCGCAATGGTTATGGTCATCCTGGATTATCAGTCCCGCAGAAGCCTGTCCCGCCCTTGCGGAGCCGCCGAGCCGTCAAAAAGACAAGAATGCTTCTTGGCCGTCAGAGCCAAGCCCGGACGCCGAACAGCGCGAAGAAGCAAGCGAGGACACAGAGCGTTCAACGTTTCCATGTAAGGCGTGTGAATCGCGGGGTGTTGCCTGCGATCTTCAGCGACCGCGATGCGCACATTGCCTGGATGAGCAAGTATTATGCTTCTATGTGGCGCCCCTACCTCCCTTGCGCGCGACTAGACGTTCAAAAAAGAGGCGCTCCACACATATAGAAACAGTATTGCGCTCACGGGAGATTGACACTAGCGGATGATCGTGGGGGAAGCTTCGACATTAAATTAATATACATTTTCCTTAACCGCCGTGATAAGATAGGCGTCACTCTTCTCGTCACGCAGATTAGTTAAAAGATATAATTCCTGGTGATGCACTCCACGGAGGGAGAGTGGATGTACCCCAGCAAGAAATCCTTGCAAAAAAATATATATATAATCTTCACATGATCCCTGACATCTCACGGTTGTCATCAATAAGTTTTCTTCGCCTTCTGGATAATTGACAGGCCCAGACAATACTGGGGTCCGTCCACGTTGAAGACTACTCAGAGATAAAGAACCTCGGCTAGACGCCAAGCGTCTACATATGATCTCAACACGAGACCTTTGTTACCTGATGCTCTAAACTGCAGAGAAGGTCTCGTTGAGTAAGCTCGGGTGACGGTGGACAGAGCTCCGTAAAACTGAAGTTATTGCTGTCGGAGCACTGTGAGCCGGTCTCTCCACACCCCCAGACATACTTCAAAGATGGGGTATTTTCTATTTGAGCTCGTGCCGTACAGAGTTTGGATTACCATCTTGACGAACAATTCAATTGTCGGTTCGTTGGGGTTATCGTGTCTGCGCGATCGCTGAGGACATCGACTATTCATAGTGAGTCGCCACGCAGCTACGCGCTGACGCAACATACATTCTTCTATAACCTTATTTGAAAGTAAATCGCGCGTCTAATGTTACACACAGATGGAAGAGGAGTACACGCGTATCGCGGACATCATTCGCCACCGGGCCAGAACCCATGGTAAGAAGCGATATCTCGTCGCCATCGCCGGCGTGCCCGGCTCTGGCAAAACAACAACAGCAACTGCCATTGCACGGCGTTTGAATTCAGGGCAAACCCCTATCCAGACTGAGCTGGTCTCGATGGATGGCTTCCACCTGTCGCGGGCGACACTGGACCAGCTCCCGAATCGAGAAGAGGCATATATCCGGCGTGGAGCGCCGTGGACCTTTGATGCTGCCCGATTCGTTGCCTTCGTTCACCAATTACGGCAGTGGACAGATACATTCTCTGACGAAACGATCTATGCGCCTGCCTTCCATCACGAAACCAAAGATCCAGTGGAGGACGGTATCATGATATCGGGCGATGCTTCGATCCTCATCATTGAAGGCAACTACCTCCTCCTGGATGAGCCTGAGTGGCGCGATATTGCACGACTGGTTGACTACCGTGTATTCGTTGACACAGATCTGCAAGAAGCACGGGACCGTGTGGCGAAGCGTCATGTCAGCGCGGGGATAGAAAAAACGATAGAAGATGGGTATCGTCGGGTGGATAGTAACGACTATTTGAATGCGCTTACAATCCGGGACAAGCTGATCCAGCCTGATATGGTGGTACATAGCATCTCCGAGGTATCATCATAGCTTGCTTCTATCAACCTTCCTATTTACACCATAAACAGCACCACATGTGTATATAACGACCTATGTCTAGACCGCAGCCTTCTCATTCCTTAATCTTCTGTTTGTGAAACACGTCTGAGCTTATCAGCAACTATACGCATCATGGAGAGTGATACGGAAAACTTACCGGGAATCTCTGGCATCCAGTTAACCCTAGAGCTGCAGAAGAACTCGCCCTTTGGTGGCAGCGCCTCGGGGTCATCCAAGGACCCAACACACAGGTAGCGGAACTGATCTTTGACGGCATCCTACGAGCGTCAGCATCGAATCCTGCCGGCATAGTGTCATATATCCCTACCCCGTATTCACAGATAAAACTGCCACAATTCGAGCAAAACTCGCGATGAATCAGCGACCCAGACCCATTGTCGGCCACATGTTCCTTTGGGGCGCCTTTAGTGAGTCGGAGAGCGTCTTTGGGGATCTTCGCAGTTAGACCGTAGTTTGTTCCGAAAGCTTTCTATTCCAGTATTAGTAACATTCGCCATTAAAAGATAGAGAGAACACCTATTGCCGTGTTTGCGTACTTTGCAGCTTTTACAGTGACACAGGGAAGTTCGTGCATCATCGGGTGAAGAGAGGGACAGTTCGTACTGGATATCCCGGCAGTAACACGATCCAGGGTAAGTCGGCATGGTTCTTGGGGGTGATTAGACGAAGTATATGGAGCTACAATAGAGGTTTGGCCTGTTGAATTGACAGAGAGATCAGTTCAGTCGCGGGCGATATCCCGAGTTGTATAGGTTCGCCGGAGGGTTGACGTCATGGTGTGTTGTGTGGCTCATTTCTTTCGTTATAGAGGAATAATCGTCTGGTATCCTCGTTTATTTATATCGACGGGTGTACTCAAGTCTCCTGCAAAATCCATGGCTGGAGAATCCGTCCGACTTAGGGTTATGAAAAAGGTGTGATGTGATCATGACCACACTCTATGCGCACTGACCAGTTTTCATTCTTTCCTCATAACATATCACATTGTATGTATCTTATCATACCACCCTCCTCTTCACCATTTCTTCCATATTTATAGCATGTGCCGTATTGCCTTGATGTATCTACTATCCTCTCACCGCTACAATGTCATCCACAGGCATCCTCAAATGAAATGCGCCCTATGACCTTTAGGTCTGCGATTGATTTATTGTCTACTGCGGGGTAGATCTATTCCACACTCAACCATGACACTCACCGAAATGGCAACACAAGGACAGGGCTCCCAGGAAACCCAACAATCCCAAAGCATGACGAAGAGAGCCGTCGTCTCTTCCTTCATCTTTCGCTTCCCTCCAGGGCAGTCTACCAAGCCGTCCGTAGCGTTGTTCAAGCGGAGCGAGAAAGTGAGAACGTACCGGTATGATGCGACTTCCAAACGAACAGTTCCTGGTAGCACGTTAGTAACATAACTCCTCCCTATAGTCATCACCTTGCGCCTATCTCCGGTAGCATCGACCCGTCCGACCCTGACCCTCTCGCGGCGGCATGGCGTGAATTGTGCGAAGAAACCTCCCTCACCCCATCGGATCTCAGCTTCTGGCGCACTGGCAAGCCATTCACCTTCAGCGACCCGTCCATCGGCCGAGAATGGACCATTCATCCGTTCGCGTTTCGTCTCAAAGACCCCGCAGAAGGGGGACGGGGGGAAGAGGCTATTCGGACTGACTGGGAGCATGAAGGGTGGCAGTGGTACGATCCTCGCGCGGTGCTGGGAGACGAAAGCCTGAACACTGTTCCACGTCTACAAGACAGTTTAAGACGGGTCTGGTTCGAGGGCACAACCAACGAGCGAGCAGGAAAGGCTCTTGCGGCTGGTCTGGAACGACTGCGAGCGGACCATGAGAGTGGCGCGCATGAATTGACGGCGATAGCGCTCACGGTGTTCCGTGACTTCATCGTGTACACGCAAAATCACCTCGATGCGGAATGGTGGGATATGGTTCGAATGGCAGCATGGCATCTTGTCAAGAACGGACGAGAAAGCATGGGTGCAGCCACGCAGAACGCCGTTCTATCTGTTCTAGCGGAGATAGAAGAGATCATGGAGCAGAAGACCGGTGCCGAGCAGAAGTGGGATCGGATCCTGGCTCTGATCGATTTCCACCTGAGGAATCGCACTGATACTGCACAGCAGGTCAAGAATTCCTTCATCTCCTACCTTCAGTGCCACTTTTCGTCCAGTGGCACACAAAAGGATCGGCTGACCATGCTCACCATATCCTCCAGTTCGACTATCAGGGACAGTATCTTGGAAGCATACGACGCGCTCAAGATTCAAACACTTGAACTGCGGGTCCTCGAGTCGAGGCCGCTTTTCGAGGGTGCCAGCCTGGCCTCGTCGATCCTGTCGACGTTCAAATCCCAGTCGAAGTCCCCCGACAAACACCTGCATATCACGATGTACACCGATGCATCAGCTGCACTGGCCGCCAGAGACGTCGATATCATCCTGCTCGGTGCGGACCGCATTTCCGCCACCAAGGGTGTCAGCAACAAAACCGGATCCCTGCCTTTGGTGCTCAGCGCGAAATATGTCACTCCAGGCGTGCGGGTTGTCGTGCTCAGCAACGTAGAGAAGATCAATGGAACGGCCGGGGTAATTGACGACGGACTCGCCGAGGGCAATGATCCATTTGAGGTGTCAAGTTCTTGGCGCAGCGACGGTGTCAAGGGCGTGCAGGTGCTAGAGAATGGGATGAGAGGCACCAAGTCGGAGCAGGAAAATTCGTCTGTCACGGTGGCGAATACCTACTTCGAATGGGTTCCTCTGGAAATGGTGGACGCCTTCATCTGTGAAGAGGGAGTCCTTCACAAGGATAGTATTCAGGAGAAGACCCGTAATCTGAGAGAGAAGACCGACCGGTACTTTGGTAGTTTGTAATGATGGTGGTCGCTCATCTAGTGAATTTGGCCATCGACGGGCCTATCAGCTGCAGATAAATGGATAGCACTTCACATATCTTGACTGACCTAAGTCGAACTAGACATGCTTTTCTCAAATGGCACGACAGCCCTCAACAGCAAGTTCATATCTGCCACATTTACATAAAAAGATATGATGTCATCCACCGTAGATTGCGCAAAGGAAACAACCATTACGGGATGTCCGCTCTAGTTGATTTTGTCTACGTGATTTGGAGATGTGTATACTGAGACGAAGTCATGGTAGAACGAAGTCTGAGATTAAGAGAGCTAAACAAGTCCGTACATGAAAACAGTATTCCTAAAAGAAGTAGAAAAGGGGTGTATCTTCAACGATGAACTCCAAACACCGGCTTAAAGGCAGGGATATCTAACGCCAATCACCATCCAAGGTATCATTAACAATCACGAACGCGCGCCTGTCGCTTGGCTGTCCCAATGTGGGTGTTGTGCACCTTCGTGGCGAACTTGAGACTGGTCAAGGTCTCGGCCAGGTGTGCCTGCAGCGGACTGACCATGACAAACATGAGCGTCTTCGAATTTCCTCCCAAGGAGAATTGGAGGAGGTAGGTAAGCTATAACTTGTTAGTACCTTGATTGCAGATGAAACAGCCAGGGGGACTTACTTTGCTGTTGCGATAGGGGATATGTCCGCCATCCTTGCCCTGTCCTAATGCGGCAATCACATCTCCTAAACAGCTCAGACTGCGGTTTATATTCTGCGTCTCCCGCAGCCGCTCGCCGGTTGCACCGCTGTGGCTCAGTCGCTCACTACCGGCCAAGTCCACCAGGTTGAGCGTTCCCTCACTGCGCTCACCGGTAATGCCATTCTCCCCGATGAGCTTCAGGATGAAGACGGAGTGAGACCGCGATGATCTCTCGTTGGCCTTGGTAGCAGCGACCGAACGATTGGCCGCAGCACGTTTGAGGATACTTTCGACCATCTCGGGCGAATCCAGGCGCACAGTAGTAACATCTGTAATGATTGTCTTGCCTCGTTGCATGTCGTGCCGGATTTCGTGCTTCTTCTTGTCCAATTCCTCCGCCTTGCCCAATAGATCGTTCAGATTTTCATTGTACACCTCTACGAAGTTTCCTTCCATAGTATACCTCCAACCCTTTTCTTTGAGACTAGTAGCAGTCTCGTAGATTTGGTGTACAGCCCGTGGAATCATGCCATCCAAAGAAGACATGGTGTGGGTCTTACCACTCCCGGTCTGTCCATAGCAGAAAATGCACACGTTGTACCCATCAAGCGCACTTTGGACAAGCTGGCTGATCTCATCGAATACCTCCGCATTCTGGGTAGATGGCCCGAATACCCGGTCAAAGGCAAAGTTGTTGTTTTTCTTGGTAATGGCGCCGAGGCTGCTCTTCTCTTCCAGTCCCACAACATTAATCTCCTTGCATTCCTCCGATGCATCAGGGAATTGAATCTGAGCCACGCCCGTCTGCGGCTCCGTCTCTAACGAGGGTCGGACACGGCAGAAGACCCGGATGTTGCCCTTGAGCTCCTGAACTTGGTTGTGTAATTTCCTTCGGAGGGTCTCCTCCTTCCGCAACTTGTCCTTAGTGGCGTTGGTCTCGGCCAGGGCATCCATCATTTGCTGATTCAACCGCTCAAACGCTTGAGACTGCTCCTCACGACCGGACTCCAAGAATTCGATTCGAGCTTTGAGCGCGCGAATCGACGACTCTAGAGTCACGCTATTGCTGCTGGCTGTGTCCAGGTTCTGCCGGAGACCCTGGGTGCTCTTGCGCTCCTGCGCAATCTCTTGTCGTAGGGCTTGCACGTCGTTCTGGAGCGAGGCGATTTCCCGATCTTTCCTGTCCAGCTCGATCTGGGAGCGTTGTGTATCTAGGGCGGTCTGAGACGTGAGCTGGTTAATTTCCCGGAGCCGCGAGGCCTTTTCGTCGTCCATTTCACGCTCAAATCGCCGTCTCAACTCGGAGAGCTGGTCTTCATGCTGCGCAGTTATGATCTGTATTTTCTTCTTGCTATCAACCCTCAGAGTCTCAACTTCGAGCCGTTGCTGAGAACTGAACTCTTCCATCGCGAGTTCATGTTCCTTCTGGGCCTCTTGTAAAGCGCCTTCCGCTGTTCCTATGCGAGCCTTCATTGATTCGAGTTCGACGCGTAAGGCCAGGTTTGCCTCGGTGAGATCTTTTCGCGACTGTTCGAGCTCGTTCACTGCAGATTGAATTTTGTGAGCTCCTTTCCACCCTATTGGTAGATCGTGGACGATTACCTCTTGATTTATACAGCTCCACGGTTTCTTTGAGCCCGAAACTCTCTTGGCCAGCCTGACTTACTCGGGAGACAAAGGCGTTGAAGAACTCCTCCATCGTCTTCTCGCGTGTTTCCTGGTCCCACCCGGCGCCTGTAGAGCAGTTAAAAGTGGTGATCATGGAATCTTTGGTCAGGAACTGGGGCACAGGGGGAGGCTTCCTCTTTGAGGAATTTTTAGACGGTGAAGGGGGCTTGCATGATGCAGTGGGCGTAGTAGGGGTATTCAAGGCAAGGGGAACGAATGGCCTATGGGTTGGGAAAGTCTTTGGGTCCAGCATCCTGGCGCGGAGAGGGCCCATGGTTGAAGTATCCAAAGCATCACGACGGTCAGGGCGCGAGAATACTTCATACTCTTCAGAAGAATACGACTGACCTCCCGACCAAGCCTGTGGGACACGTTCATGCACGCTTGCTGATAATGACGGGGCCGCGAAAATAGCAAAATCAGAGGAATCAAAGTAAAATTGTCGCCTACCCTTTCTCTTCCCCAAGATACTTGAATCTTCCTCATTATGGGTATCCAACGAAGTTGCTGGGCGGGCAATTGTATGACCGTTGGGCCTCCGGGCGCCGGCGAGCGAAGTCTGAGGGCGTGATAATGCAGAGTGGGGTCGCATACTAGATCCAGTGGCGTGGGACGCTTTGGTAGTTCGCGAAGCGGTGGAGGCGGATCTAGTTACGGTGGTCGTTGCATGGGGATTCGCACGACTATGAGGTTTTCCTGACAATGTCGTGGACATTGCTCTAGTTCTGGTGGTCTCGGCGCCTTGTGTGGTACTCCTCGGACGAGTCGGTTCTGTCCCTGTGAGCGCTACAGTCCTGCTAAGCCTGCTTGTTATCTCACTTACGCGACGATGTTTTAGCGATTGAGCCAGGCGGCAGGATGCCTGACCGCGAATTAGTATTAGCCGAGCTCATTTCTTTGAGCCCAGCGGCGGGTATGCGTGTGCGGGCAGGGGCTCGTGATTGCGTCTGGAAGTGCGTCAGTGAGGCTGGGCAGTGAAGTTTGTCATATCGAGCATCATTACCACGTTCTCATTATCCATCATGTACGAAAAATAAACAATTGATGGTACCGGTAAGAGGATACTCAGATAGAGCGGAGAGATGAAGGCGGGAGCTTTCGGAGCCACCGTCTAGAATGGAGAGAAAAACACACTGCAAGCTATACAAACAGACGAAGAGTCAAAGCGGGGAAGAGCGAATCACCATGAATTGTCGACAAATTGCAGTGAGGAGGGGTCCCGCATGGTAAGTGAGTAGCGCGAGGGTCGTCAGTCGCCAGGGAATCTTTACCCAGTGATGGACGTTGAGTTTGGTTTGGAAGTTTGGCTTGTCGTTTACCATCCAAGCGCCGGTTTCTGGAGTAACGCAGGGCGGTAAACAAACTGAGCAAATTGGGCATCGGGGCGGTGCTGACTCAGCCACTTTCCGGCGGGGAGACGCTAGTCCCAGAAAAGGCTAGGCGTATCGTATCCATTTGATCCCTTACCCTCCTCCGAGTAATTCTGTACAATGGTGTTATGCCAGAAGCACCCGGCGTTACCATGGTACCATACCGACTGTATACCACTGTCACGAGATATCTGTCCGGGTTGGGATCGATATTTTTTTTTCCCTTCGTTCTCAACAATTGAACGGTTACTGAATCTGAAGTTGATCATCAAATTGCGTGGACCCCCATAATTCATTGCCTGCAACCGTCACCCAGTGAATCCATCTCCCGCGTGCGGGTCGTCCCACCGAAGACCTTCTTTCAGACTAAGAGTGGACGGCGTCGACTTTCCCAGACCGACAGCTTCCCTGTTTCATAGTTGTCGCCCTTCAATTGCTCCTCTCCTCCCGTTCGGTTTTGCTTTTTTCCTTTGTCGTGATCACGGTTTTTGTCGAGTCTCAATCTGTGACAGCGTGATGTCTGGTCGTTTCGTCCGTTCCTCTAAATACCGTGAGCTGCCATTACATTCCCTCCCCTCTTTTTGATGTTGCCCGCAATCTGACAGGTATCATTTTAGGACACGTCTTCGGGCGGAACACAAGAAAGGTATCCAGCCAATTTCTCGGCATCGCAATACCGTTGCCCTATTGACAGCGCCTGTAGGAGCAATGTTATGATAACCTCCGCGTGTCCGCAAATGCCTGGGACAGCAATCTCGTCAAGGTTCGCCTACCTCCGTTCCACGCCGACACCCCTGAGCCGTCCGCGCGAGATAAACTAATCGCTAGTCAAGGTCAACCCCAAATACCTGTCTGTAAACTGGGCAGCCGGTGGAGGTGGTGCATTTGCTGTTATTCCTCTGGAAGAGCGGGGCAAACTGCCTGAGAGAATCCCTCTGTTCCGTGGTCACACTGCAGCAGTCTTGGATACCGACTGGTGAGCAGCGGTCACTTCCTCTTCAATCCAAGTCACACGTCCAGAAAGCCAACATACCTAGGAACCCTTTTAACGATGACCTGATTGCATCTGGTTCCGATGACGGCAAGGTATAATGCGAGACTAATCCGAGTGTTCGAATCTCATACTAAATAATTCTATCTAGGCCCTCCTGTGGCGCGTACCTGAAAACTTCACCCTCCGCCCCGATGTCGACCTCGATGATGTTAAGGATATCGCGCCTGTCGGAAAGCTGAGCGGTCACCCCAAGTCAGTCCCTCACCACTGCGCCTACCCTGTCGCACTCGTACTTTAGACGGAGTAAACGGTTAACAACATTACAGAAAAATCGGACATGTGCTCTTCAACCCTGCGGCAGAAAATGTCTTGGCTACGTCTTCTGGCGACTTCACTGTCAAGATTTGGGATATTGAGGCCGGTGCTGCCAAGCTCACGTTGAACGTGGGCGATATGGTTTATTCGCAGTCCTGGAGCGCCAATGGCTCCCTCCTGGTCACCACCTCTCGTGATAAGAAGCTCCGGATCTGGGATGCACGTCAGGAACGTCCCGCGCATGAGGTCCAGGGGCACTCGGGTGCGAAGAACAGCCGTGTCGTATGGCTGGGAGAACGTGACCGGATCGCGACCACCGGTTTCTCCAGGATGAGCGACCGCCAACTCGCATTGTGGGATATGCGCGCTCCTGCAGAGCCCATCAACGGATTCAAAGTTCTTGATTCAATCTCTGGTGTCTGCATGCCCTTCTGGGACGATGGTACCCAGTGCTTGTACTTGGCTGGCAGAGGGTAAGTGAGACTTGTGGTACATCTGAAAGTGATCTAACACCATTTAGTGACGGTAACATTCGTTATTTTGAATTGGAGAATGACAAGTTCGAATATCTCGCTGAATACAAGTCAGCCGATCCTCAGCGCGGTATTGCTTTCATGCCGAAGCGCGGTGTTAACATGCACGAGAACGAGATAACCCGTGCCTTCAAGACTGTCGGCGATACCTACATTGAGCCGATCTCTTTCATCGTTCCTCGCCGTGCCGAGTCCTTCCAGGATGATATCTATCCACCTACAATCGGCCTGACACCCGCTATGAGCCCATCGGAATGGTTCGCCGGCAAGGAAGCCATCCCACCGAAGATTTCCATGGCTAGTCTGTATGAAGGAGAGGGCCTCCAGGAGGTTACTGGTGTGCAAGACAAGCCTACGGAGACCTTGGGTGCTCCCGCAGCCCAAGCAGAACCTGCGCCGAAGCCCGCAGAGCCGACCCCGGTGAAGAAAGCACCGGAGCCCGAACCGACTCCTGTACATAAGCCTGCCCCGTCCATGAAAGAGCAGGGGGCTTCCATGGCTGCCATGGTGAACAAGTTTGCCGATGAGGAAGAGGCGGAGCCCGCGGCTGAGGAGTCCAGCTTTGACGAGGCACCCAAGCCCGTCGAGCGGGAAGCTCGTCCCGTAGAGTCTGTTTCGCCAGTCAAGGCCAGCCCATGGCACCAAAGGGAAGAGAGCAAGTCACAGACACCTTCCAAACCGTCAACCCCTGTTCCAGTAAGCACCATTCAAGGTTGAACCAAAAGCCATACCACAAACTAACCATAACAACAGGCCCAGAGTAATGTCAGCACCCCGGTTGATACATCTTCCGGATTCAATATTCCCGAGGTCACCAATACGGCTGCTAGCGCCCTCCATGGAGAAATCCAAAAGCTCACACATATGGTCGGGCCTCTACTGAACGAAGTCCACGAACAAAAGCAGCAGATCGAGAGTCTGACCAAGACGATTGAGTCGCTCGAGACCAACCAAGAGAAGCAGATACAAAGCCTGAACGAGAAGATCGTGGCTCTTGAGGCCAGGCTGAGTTAATCAGCCCATCGCTGTCTTTGTATCTATAATAATTGTATTCTTCCTGAATGATTCCTCTGCAAAAGACCGTCTCTCGTTTTGTCCATAGCCATCGATGTCGTGTTATATGCCTTCTATTATGATTGACGGCATGATTGCAATGTCAATGCAAATACCATTTTTGTGCTTCTTTGTTTCTTGTTCTACCTGGTTTTCTTGAGCGGAAATGATAGAAGTTGACGATATGTGTGGTTAATCGGTTATGATAAATATATATGTTTTCCTGGACGACGTCATTAGCTGAATCGCGTGTAGACATTAGAGATTTTCCTTCACATTCCGAACAGGGTAAGAAAATGAAATGAATAGAGGGCTGATAAATAGTATTTAGAACCGAGTGCAGCGCCACACACACATTACGCGGGTTGATGGTTGTATGCCGACGGAAATATATACGTAGGTCGACACAGCGACAATCTACTCAATTACATATTGGATTCATTTGTCTCAACAAGCCCTGACGCAAGATATCTAGATTCATAAATTGCCGTAAGTGGCACTATTTCATCCCATCAGAAATCCCCAGGAGGTATATCTACAAAGAACGACAGCGTAGATACTCGTCAACTCCACCGGAAAGTCAACAAAATAACAGCAACATCCATGAACTAAAGTATGCACGCTCTCCTTCATGCAAGAACAACACTCCAAACCCACGAAATATACCTGGAACGCTCTATATGCTCTTTTGTTGTGAGAAAGGGGAAGATACGGGGAGGGAAAAGCGAAAGTCATATGGCTCGAAAGGTAGGTGGGGAGTATGAGGAAGAAATAAAGGGATTTTATGCCCACCGGCTGGCTTCTCGTTCTTTTTCTACTCGTGCCGCGCGAGCGGCATCGCTCTCGTCGTCTTCATACTTGTAAGTGAGGCGTCGACCGCCAGCTGCCGGCCGCTCCTGACGACTGTCGCGCCGACGGCTGGGTTTACCAGCATCGCGGTCTGCATGCATGGCTTCGCGCCGTTGCTGCTCCTTCAACAAACGTTCACGGTTGCGAGCTTCACGCTCTAATGTATGAGGGTCTTTCTCCGGTTCAGAGGTCTTGGCTGATGATGAAGAGGGTTTGTCTCTTGTGCGATCTTTATCACGGATCTCGTCTTCACGGCTTCGTTTTATACGACGAGAATGGTGTCGCGATGAGTAGTCACTGTCAACAGGAGATTCAGTTCGGTCGCGACGAGGCCGTTTCCTGTCACGGTCACGGTCACGATGGCGATCGCGGGCTCTGTCTCTATCTCTTTCCCTGTCTCGTTCCCTTTCCCGGTAACGATCGCGATCTCTTTCACGGTCCCGACGTCGAGAGTCTCGATCTCTCTCCCGTTCCTCATCTCGACGACTGGATCGGTCTTTACCGGATCGGTAGGTCCGGCTGGAGCTCTCCTGAGGCTCGCTCACGATGGGTGTCCTGTTTCGAGAGCCGGGTTCTTTTTCTTCCGTAATTAATGAGACACGATCGGCATCGCGAGAGTCCCCATTGCGACTGGGACTCTGGCTGCGGTGGCGGTGTGAGCGATGCGATCGACGGCCGCTTCTCCTGTCTCTCTCTCTATCCCGCCGATGTAAGGACCGGCGGGAATCAACAGAAGGTGAACGGGTGCGGTGGTCATCTTCCACTTGAGACTGTTCGTCGTATTTGTCTTCACGACGAGGCCTTCTTGGCCGCTCACGTCTGCGCTCGGAGTCTTCTGCGCCGTTTTCGATACTTGCGGAGCGTGGGCGATTATGACGACGACTGGTGGATTGGGACCGCGCACGGGAACGAGACCGGCTTTTCGATCTCGATGCCGACCGAGCTCGCGACTTCGACCTCGAAGTCGACCGTGGGTGGTGGTCTTCCAGAGGTGCTGGGGTTGTGCTGGACACAAGGTTAGACTAGGCCGACAGACCGTCGGTGACGGATTGTGCGACTTACCTCTGGGAAGCGTCCGAAGGTCTCACCGATGAGACCGGGCCTCGTCCTGCTCCTTGGAAATTCCGCTGCCGGAGAATACTAGTATTTGGAAGACCTTCCCGCATTGCCCGGGGAGCAGCTGGTGCGCCTTCGACACCAGGCCCTCTCGGTGCAGGCATGCCGGATCCGGGCATGAAGGGTGGCCCAGTAAAAGGCCCTCCACGGCCTCCGGGAAATGGACCACGCATATAGCCTCGGCCAAAGCCTGGCCCCATCGGCATCATGGGTCCATTATGCATTCCTTGGGCGGCATTGGCCTGGTCAAGACTATCAATAGTTGGTATACCACGCAGCTCCGAGTCCTCGGGACCAGTTGTCTCGTCCATGGTGGGGCCATTTGCAGAACTGGCTTCACCATTGTCGCCCACGTCAGCAGCATTCTCATTCAAAGATGGGTCTTTAGTGCCATCCAAATCACCGCTTAAAGTATTCTCGTCATTAGCATTTGTCGCTTCCGCGGCGTTGGGTTCTCCTGACGGGGTCTCTGCAGATACGCCTTCCTGCGACTGGGATGACATGTCTTGATTGAAGTTAGGGGAATTAAACGCTGGGTAGTTAGCATTAGGAGGGTAATTAGCTTGCATAGGCCCCGTGAAGCCGCCGCGGCCACGACCACCAGGGTAAAATCCGCGACCACGGCCCCGGAAATTGCCCCGGCCATACCCGGGACCATAATAGCCGGTTTGGAAATCTTGGTTAGGGAATTGTTGTTGCTGCATTTGAGGATGAACTCCGTTGGGTTGAGACATATTATATCCGCCAAATCCAGAGGGGGCCCCATACTGTGGACCCATACCATTTGCGAAAGCATTTGGATTGAATTTATCTTGGCCTCCATTCCACATATTGTTTTGTGAGCCGTCCCATCCCCCATACATCCCTTGACCCGCGTCGAAATTCATCCCCGTATTCATGCCATTCATGTTCATCCCGTAACCTCCAAACATACCCTGACTCGCGACCATCGGGTCCATCATGCCGGCCATTCCTATAACCAATTTGTTAGCAACTCCCTGCTGTAGAAACTATGAACGAGGCGAGACACATACCCATAGGATTGAACATTCCGTTGCCCATGAACTGAGACATCGGATTGAAGTCCCCGTTATTGTTGTTCCAACCCATGGGGAACATCCCCGGAGCCATGCCGAATGGCATCCCATTGGGAAACATTTGCCCCGATCCCGGGCCCTGGGCCATATCCTGTTCGGATTCCTGAGCCAATTTGGCATCGTCTACATCTTCTCCTTCTCCGGAACCGTTCTGCTGCGTCACATCCGGGTTTTCCGTTCCATCCGTGGGGACAGCTTCGGTCTGTTCGTCCTGTCGAGGCAATAAAGTCAGTTGCACTCCTTTGTTGCAATTGTGAGGGATGCGAATTACCTCGGCCGGGGGTTGGGATTCCAGGGGAGCTTCATGATTCCCATCAGTTTGCTCGGTGATAGCCTCCGGTGGGTTTCCACTAGCCGGAAGCTCTTCTGATGGAGCTTCGACAGAAGGTACCACATCTGGTAAAACTTCTTCCTGCTTAATTTCCGGGATTTCGGAAACTGCGGGAGTTTCTTGGTGGGCCGAAATTCCCTGCACAGGGGTCGCATCATTGGTAGTCGCAGGAGTTGCCGACTGGCGCTCTTTCTCACGCTTCTTTTCCTCGGTACGAAGGAAAGCCTTTAAAGTCGTCCTGAGAGCTTTATTTGGTTTGCATAAATCGGAGGAGAGAGGCGTATGTGCGCAGACAGGACAAGTCTCTGGTAGTGACGCTTGGCCTAAAAAAAAAAAGGGAGTATTAGATCGAGTCACGATGTTGGGGAAATGACGAATAGCAAAAGAAATTGCAGCGCGTACAGTTCTCGCAGATAGCCTGATCGCAGCAAGGCAGCCGGAACGCGTTCAGAGCCAGTTTGTTGCAGATAGCGCATCGCAGCTTGAATGGAATTTCATCCTGCGTGAGAGAACTAATTCACCGGAAACACAATGAGCCACCAAGAATCACAATGGCAGAGGACGACCCCCAATGGTATTGCTTACCTCGCAATATCCATCAAGCCCGAAGGCTGATCCGCTGCAGCCATGGGGAAAATCGAGTCAAGACGGAGGTCAAGAGAGCACGAGATAAGTCCGAAGGTTGGATAGCCGGCGCGTATGACAAGTAAAGGCTAGCCCGGGTGGCAAATGCAGATGGCATGGTTCAATTCGCCATCAGTAGGTAATGAAGCGCATCCCTAACGACGTCGCAGGTGAATGGCGAGCGAGTAATGATTGTGGTAAGTCGCAATCTGACTGATTGACCAAATTTGGACTGGACGGGCCGGAGGCTGGTCGGAACGGAACAATGTGCGGACCGAGCGTCCCTCCTGTTTGCTTGTTTGCTCCCCGCCGAATGTAGGGGGACAGTTTTTGGTGGTCATTCAACACAGCGTCCTTTTCCCAAGGTTGTCCTTTACCCTGTAAGGGAGATCTATGTATGGACGAGGTACTCCATACTACTGGTAGTACTATACACATTACGCATATGACCGGTGAAGTCTCAAATTTGGATTATGTATTCGAGTACTGCATATCGTTGACTGTACTCGTCAACTACTACCGGCACCATGACCTCGTTGACCTGTTGCATACAATGTAAAATATGCCTCGGGTACTTTTTTGAAACGTGCTGTTCTGGTGCAGGTTGTCGATCATCTCATTTGAATGGCTGCACAACCTCCTAGTACTGCCTCACACCGCCCAAGGCTGACAGTTGCCCGTGACCTATCATCAGGGTTTGCCAACACAAACAAGGCAGGTTTAGTACCGGGTACTTGATACTGGATACTGGCTACATAATTCTATATGGACTCTAGCAACATGTTTTCATATTTCGGCATATCTGAAATAAATCTATATTGACTTTCAACACTATCTGGGGGCCAAAGAATCTTAGGAAAGCAGTAATACCGATTGGCCATCAGATTAGATCAAGTTATTTTCACCGTCACGGATGCGGTATTGCTGTAAACAGCAAGGATGACATTAGCGGCGATACCAGTGCTAGGTTTCTGCCTACCGTGTTCATCCTCTCCCAGCATCTCTGGGCTCATTCTGTCATCATTGACCGGCATGGTAGTTTGCAAAGGATTCCATCAGACATGTACACCTACGCGACCATAGCAAAAAAGCATAACAATAAGGATAACATCAACATAAGAACGAAAGGTATAGAAGGATGTGATCAACAATATCCCGAGACAACAACATTAGAAGGCCCTGTTTGGAATATATTGTCGACAATGACGAGAAGGGAAAGATACACGCCGAAGCAGAAGGTAAACAATGTCTGGCCCGTCAAAGCTGTCTTCAGTTAGTATGTAAAATTCCGAGCCGACAGACGGGATCACGCGCGGTAAGGCTAAACCTGGATTGGGACCCAATCACGGCCTCATCCACAGTGAATTGCTTTACGGTCGTGGTGGCGAGTGGTCAGATGAGAGCCACCAGTTGGGTCATGATGATGACGGTGGTGAGGAAAGAATCGATAATTGCTTTCATATCTTGTATAATATCCTTCACAAGAAGAGAGGGGGGGGGGAGAAACAATAAGAATAATAAGAATAATATCTATCGATAATAGAAAGTAGAAGGCTGTGACTTGTGACGTTAGTAAGACAATATGGAGAAGTAGCTGCAATAAGAGTCATGACCCATGTCGTCATGAGTTCTCGCGGTCATCAGGAAGTGTATCAAGTCATAAAAGGGGAGAGAGTAAAGGAACCATAGGAAATAAGAAAAAAATAAAGGAAAAAAAAAAGAAAAACATTCGGTGGTGGAAGAAGAAAAAGAAAAAGCTAAATCCATTCAAGGCTAACCAAATGACGGCTTAGTACATATTTTTAGCGTGCGAGTGGACCAGGAGCGCAGGGTTAAAAAGGGCGACCGCTGCTCTGCGGATGAAAAAAGACGCCGGGACCCTTCAGATTTTCTGGCCGCTGTGCCCACAGCCCACAGTTTCTTGTGCCCACGCACTTAGCCTTCGTTTTCTCTTCTCGAAGCAAGACAAAAGCTCGGGCCATCCGTGGCGCGATCGATCAAAACAACCCAGTAAAAGAAAATTACATACCCCTCTATTACACTCTTACCGTTATTATTGATTGTTTACTCCCTCGACAATCTGATCTCAGATCTGAAATACCACAACCAGGGAACTGTCTAGGAGTCCTATTTATACACCTATATTTTAGTACTCCGTTCGATGCCTATACCATTCTCCTAGGACATTCTTTATCAATTTTTTCATGTCCAGTTGGAATCCCTTTGACCACCGGAATTCTTCAATTTCAAGGTACGTGCCCACTAAAAACCACAGTAACTAAACTCACTCAACCCCATATTTATCCACATTAGTGGCTTCCTGTTTCGCGCTCGCGCATCCCC